TTTGCAGAACTGGGGATTGAACTCAGGCCCTTGTGCTTGCCAGGGAAGTGCTTATTCCACTGAGCCATCTCCCCAGCCCTAGAATTTTAGTTTTAACTTTTAACCGAAGTCTTGAGTTATGACCTGAATGCTGGCTGCCTATGTATCCAGATGGTCTCAGATACAGATCTGACCCTTAAAGAGTTCAGGAAGAAACATTACAACACCCTTTTCTGTATGGGGTTTGTTGAGAAATTCTGGGCATTCAGTGTCTAAGTACACTGAGATCTGCCTGTGTAAAGGAGAGAGACTCTGAAGGCTCTGTGTATAGAGGAGCCTAAGCCTTCAACTAACAGCTTGAGTTACAAAGAGTTCTTGGGCACAAATTGGATTTGTAAGGCAAGGAACCCTGGTATAAGGACGATTATTTGTAAGGCTCTGAGTTCGAGCCCAGCAACATGGAGGGTGTGATGAGGACCCATGAACTCTCTTTTTTTAAAAAAAAAAAAAAATGTATTTGGTACAAGGTCTACAGGGTCTCACTATGTAGATCACACCTGAAGTGATTCTCCTGTTTTCAGGCTCCCAAGCGCTAGGATTACAGGTATGCGTGCCTCCACGCCCAGTCTCAGTTACCTTCTCAGTGTGCCCCAAACGGCAGGGCTGGCACGGCATGCTGAGGATTGAACCCTGGCCACTGTGCTCTGGCCAGGCAGGCACTTTAATCTGCTGAGTTATGTGGCTGGCCCTGAACTCTTAAACAATATGGCCAGTGATTGCTTTGCATTCTTCCTGTTTCCGTATCATCTACCTCCCCCCGCCCCCCGCTCCTACTGGGGATCAAACTCAGGACCTTGTGCTTGCCAGACAAGCACTTAGGCCACTGAGCTATCTCCCCAGCCCTTCCATATCATCTTACACATAAAATGTAATGTTGCTTCACAATGCCTAAGCTAGGAGACTAAGTCTGAATGCTCACAGAACAGAAAGGTACTTATGATAAAAGTTCTATTTGTTGCCTCTACTGGTAAACATTATATTCTCACTAATTTCATCTTACCCTCATAAAAAGGATTATTCGTTTATGTTTATGTGTACATTCCAAATTAGTTCCAGGGCAAAGTACTACATGTCACAACTAAAAGGATTAAAAAAAAATTAAAACATTGGAAGTCAGAAGGATCATCACTTACCCTGTTTGCTATTTTCTCCTTCAGAAATGGTCTTATGATGGCAAAAATGCCCTTAAAAATTCGAGGTTCGTTTACTACATGCACTGCTTTTATCCGAATGGGAAAGCCGTCCTGTGGGCAGAAGGGAACAGGGGGTTAGAACACAGGTGGGATCTGAAACTGTCCCTTCCACAGCCAGCCTCCCCACTTCATGCTCGCGTCCAGCCCCAGCATCACTCTGGCCTGATTCGGGGCCCCTCCAATCAGTCCCCTTCGAGGCCCAAGAGGAAGCAAAGCCTTCGAGCAGCCTCTGGGATCCAAGACTGGGTGAGAAAGAGTCAGAAAACAGGTGGAAACGTTTTCCTTTCATAGAGCCCGAGTCTAGTGGACGGATCTGGCAATATCAGACTTTCTGGGTCAGTGCTGCCCTAAGTGTGTTTCTGAGTGTGTGTATGTGATGTGAACAAGGACAGCCGAGTCTGAGAAGCAGTACATGCAGTCACAGAGGTTCCTCAACTGCAGTCCTATACACAGCCTTCAGCACACAGCTGTTTGTGCTGAAGCTCACCCGGTAGGGACATACTCTGGAACTTTAAGAAAACGCTGATCCAAAGTCTCTCCTCCACCAATGTACATGGTATTGAGCAAGGGCATCAAAGCAGAGTAGAGAGCTAAAGGACAGCTCTGTGATGAGTTCAGTGACAGAGCACTTCCTAGTGTGAAGTCTTGAGTTTGATTTCTAGCCCCACAAGTTAAAAACAGTGACAACAAAGAGGAAAGCTAAGGAAAGCCAGAATACTAGCTCAAAACCGAGTCAGTTTTACAATACTGGGGAGCCTGCCCGTTAGCTCAGTTGTTTAAGCGCCTGCTCATGCAAATGCAGTCAGGAGCAGGATACTGCAGTTCGAACCCCACCTCCACCTGCCTTACCAGACCTGCGCTTCAGGCAGCCTGAGCCACAAGAAATCAAAAGACAAAAAACTGTCTGATGTGGCCTTGATTTCTCTAATAAGCCTGGTGCACAGCGAGGACTGAAACACTTACATGGGACCCACTGAAGGCCACTGTTCATCCCTGGTGCCCTGTAGCTAACAAGAGGCACCACTAAAGGAGTGGGTTGTAAAGAATCAGGAGTCCAAACCTGTTAACAGGTGTGATACTTTGACCAGCTGTATCTTCTCTAGTTCTCAGTTTCCCCATCTATCAAAAAAGGAAAAGAAACTGGGCGTGGTGGCAAACCTGTAATCTCGGCTAATGGGGAAGCTGAGGCAGAAGGATCATAAGTTTGAGGCCACAGTGGGCAAATTAGGAAAACCTTGCCTAAAAAGGCAAAAATGAAAGTTCTGGGGACGTGGCTCAGTGGCAAAGCACTTGCCTCTAATGTGTAAGGCCTTGGATTCAATCCCCAGGACCACAAAAAAAAAAAAAAAAAAAAAAAAAAAACCAACCCACAAAACCAAAAACTTCTTGCTTTGCCTAACCAGGGAATCTTTGAAGGACCGAATGGATTACAATGACGGTAAGGACACTTTGCAAACTGTCAACCACCTGCAAGTATGTAAAGAATTTTATGGTTCTCAGTTCAGAACTTGGGCTCTGAAACGCAAAACACGAGGTGTGAAACCTTTCACCAAAATATACTCCCACAGAATAAAACCTCCAGGTTTACAGGGCAGGAGAAGCTTTGGCACCTGAGCCAAAAGAACCATTTTTCTCAATTGCACTTCTTAGAATTCTTTCTTTGCCTTCTGCACCAAAAAAAAAAAAAAAAAAAAAACAACAGTGCAGAAAGCCTTAGCCTGTTTTTGGGCTCTTGCCCTAATGCTGATCTTGCCTAGATAGAAGACACCTTCTCTGAAAAGGCCTGGAGACCCAGAGGAGCCCCTGGTAAGCAGGACTGCAGATGATTTCCCACTGCAGGGTGGGAAGTGGGCTTTGTAGAATCTGTGAGACTGCAACAGAACAGAGCCCCAGGGAAGCGAAAGCAACCGCGGAACAGGCACGCAGCAAGCAGGGGCCATACCTGCAGGATGCCAATGACCTTTTTGGCTATAAAAGGGCCAAAGTGAGATGCTTTCGATAAGCTCACGCCTTTGTAGTCTGCAAGAATTACAATTCCATTCACCTGGGTTTCTTCGGACTGAATGAGTTTTTCTAATGTCAAGTATATGGCTCGGATGTTTTCGGTAATTGGGTAGTTGCTCGGTATCCATCTGTCTAAGGCCATAAGACACGGACAGGATGTTACAGAAGTGAATACAAATGAGATTAGACAAAAACTTATCTTCTAAAGCTGCTGCTTCAAAGATGGGCCAGAAAGATATTCTTGTGGTCACTGTCCTACACAAAACTGATGTTTCTTAATGCCAAACTCAGCAGCACATTCAAAAACGGAAACACAATTGAGTGTTGAGAACAAAAGCCTGAGCTCCGAAGTCAGACACAACGAGGGGGTCTGTACCTTACTAGCAGTGTAACTGTGGCTAAATTGTTTCCTCACTCTGAGCCTCCATCTCATAAGTAAAACAGAAAAATGATACCTTCCTTTGTGGACGTCAGTGACTGTGCACCCCGATCCTTCCTCTGATCTGCATAATTATCACCCAGATTGTCCTTGGGAGCCACCAAGAGGAGCATGCAGTTTGAAGAGAGCTGATGTGACTCCAGATTCTAGAGGTGGCAGTGATGGGGGACTGACTGGCAGCCTGCGGTGACCTCCCTGAGTGTGTGACTCGAGCCATGCCTGGTCATGCAGAGCCAGGGAGACTCAATTCTGTGACCTTGGCCCTTGGAAAAGGGAAGAGCTCTCTCTGTTACAGTGGTGAGGCCCTGAACCTGAGTCTAGTGGACAGATCTGGCAATATCAGACTTTCTGGGTCAGTGCTGCCCTAAGTGTATTTCTGAGTGTGTTCAAGCGATGTGAAAAAGGGCAGCCGAGTCTGAGAAGCAGTACATGCAGTCACAGAGGTTCCTCAGCTGCAGTCCTATACACAATCTTCAGCACGCACCTGTTTATGCTGAAGCTCACCCGGTAGGGACATACTCTGGAACTTTATGATCATAAACGCTGATCCACATGAGGTTTGGGGGCCACATGAGTCCAAAACTGGCTGAAGAATGTGGCCCAGGCTGAGCTCAAGACAGACAGCTTTCCAACACCTTTTTACTCCATGTGCTGAGATTCAAAGCCAGGGCCTCATGCGTGCTAAGCAAGCATTCTGCCACTGAGCCACATTTCTGACCTCCCAGCGCTATCACTTGAGCCCTTGAATGTAGCTGTATCCAGTTGTCATTTATCTGGACAAATAAGTGCCTTT